GTTGAGGAAGTGCTAACAAGACTGTTCGTGAAAAAGGATTCATCTAAAATGCTGAGTCTTTGCCTCATGTAGCTTTCTTTCCCACTGCATAGTCCAACCTTAACTAATTTAACTTTGGAATGTTATTCTTGCCTAAAAGTAAGAGTAATTTTAATTTCCTAGTTAGGGTGTAATATGCCATGAGTAATAAAAGTGAAAGATAGGAGGAGAAAGTAAATAAAGGACAAAAATCATGATATTGAAAAAAAAAAAAAGAAGAAAAATGGCATTTCTTCCCATTATTTCCCTGATTAGTTATTTTGAAGGAAGATAGAGAGAGAACTAGGCCCCACAACCCCCAAGTTTGACATTGAAAAATAGTGTGGCAGATGTTGGTATTTTAGAAAATGTCAATTTGAAAATTGAAGATTTTATAGCCATTTATTACCACAATGGTTAGAACATTTTATATGACTGTGGCTAGACTTTGCTAATTCAGAGGATCATGCTATCTGTGTAAGAGTTATACCACTTGACAGGTGGAAAGTAAAAAGAAATGAGGAAAGGACTACGTGGCAAAAGACATTTATAGAGGTACAAATATACGCATGCATATATGTAAATATATTAATAGGGTTATAGGTCTAGGTACATGTATTTAAATTTTAAGTATTAAGGTAGTAGATGGGCATTGGGTCTCTACTCAAGTACCCCCTCAATGCAAGAACAATTTGTTCTCATAACCTGGCATTCTGTGATGCTCACCTTCCCGACACAATTGCTGAAGTAAAAATGGGTGCATAATCAAATGTGGTGAAGAGAGCTGATGGTGCCCAGTTATTAAAAGACTTAGCATCTGGAGTCTTAAAGGCTTGAAATTAAACAAGAGGCCATCTAGCAGAGAAGCAACAAGCCCACATGGAAGAAGCACACCAGCCTGCGTGATCATGAGGTGTCAATAGGATCAGGTATCAGGCATCAAAAGACGAAAGATGAACAAATATATCAATGCAAATGATGGGGGGTTAGAGTGGAGACCCAAAGCCCATCTGTAGACAATTGGACATTCCCTCACAGAAGAGTCACAAGGAAGGAACGAGTCAGCCAGGGTGCAGCATAGCTCCGACAGAACACACATTCCCTTAGTTCTTTATCGCTTCTTCCTCCTACTATCATGACCCCAGTTCTAACTCACAAATCTGGCTAGACAGGAACAGGTACAAATAAGAGCTCTCAACACTTGGAATCCAGGACAGATAAACCCCTCAGGAACAATGGTAGTAGTGATACCATGAGAGAATGGGAAGGTGGGGGTAGAAGGAGGAGAAATGAGAACCGACTACAATGACCAACGTATAGCCCACCCCTAGCCCAGGGGGACAAACAACATAAATGTGGATGAAGGGAAACAGTGCATGGTGTAAGATATGAAAATAATAATAATTTATAATTTATTAAGGGTCCATGAGGGTGGGAGAATAGGGGAGTGAGGGAAAAAACAGGAGCTAATACCAAGGGCTCATGCAGAAAGAAAATGTTTTGAAAATGATGATGGCAACATATGTACAAATGTGTTTGATACAATTGATGCATGAATTGTTATAAGAGCTGTAAGAGCCCCCAATAAAATGATTTATTAAAAATAAGTTTTAAAAGAGTTTTCCCTCTTTATGGTAGCATGTATATGACAGTAAAAAGAGAATCAAGCTGAGCTCTGGGCTACAGTTGGGCACGTCATCCGAGGCAGCCAAATCTCCACTCTAAAGAAAATTACATCTCAAAATGCTACAAGGCTGTATTAGTGATCTCTGGTTGTATCACACCAAAAATCTAGCAGTTAACACACACACACACACACACACCATTTCTGCAGACCGGAATCCTGGAGCAGCTTAGCTGCGTGGTTCTCACATGTGGTTGTAGTCAAGATATTGAAGTAGTCCAGGGTTGCAATCATCTGAAAGCTTGTTTGAGGCTGGGAGATCCATTTCCAAAGAGGTCTCAGGTCCTTGGTACATGACCCTTTCCATTAGACTACTCCTGACATGGAGGTGATCTGCACAATAGAGCCATTGACACAGAACTGGCTGTCTTTTATAACCTAGCCTTGGATGTGATAATATCATCACTTTACTGATCGCATAGATGAACTCTAGTGTAATATATTAGGACTCGAGTGGAAATACCAGGAAGTGAGGGCCATTTGCATGTCACAAACAAAATAACTATGCTTACTGTGGCTCTCTGATTCTTCTGAAGCCTGGCTCAGCCACTTTTTAATTGTGTGACCTTTGGCAAGTTATAAACTCCCTGTGTCTCTGTTTTCCTATTACAAAATAGAAATGCATCTATTTCTCACTTAACTATTCTGTTATCAAACACTTCACATTTATGACAATAGGGAAAAAATATATTTTTCACATTAATGGTGTACATTTGGTAGTAACAGATTTTTGAGGTCACTAGGCAAGAGTGAGCGAGCCTTGGGGGTGTAGTGGTTACAGATTGGGCGGCAATCCCAAAGGTCTGTGGTTTGAAACCACCAGCCATTCCAAGGGAGAAAGATGGGGGCTTTTTACTCCCACAAAGAGTTCGTCTGTATGTTGTGTTTCATAATAAAGAGAAAATATCAGCAAAAAAAAAAAGTTACAGTGTCAGAAACTCACACAGGCCATTCTACCCTGTCTTATGGGGTCCCTATGAGTTGGCATCGATTCAATTCAATGGCAGTGAGTTTGGGTTTGGGGTTTAGGCAAGAGTGATGCTGCTGATTGTGATGGTTAAGGCTAAGCATTAACTTGGCTGGGCCATCATTCTCAGTTGATTGGCAGTTATGTGATAATGTAGTCATCCTCTAGTTTCACATAATGACTTGGTCTTTGGAACCTAACTATGTCAATACGTGAGGAGTGAAGTGTACTTACTTAATACATGGAAAGCCCTGTAATAGTGCCTGGCATATTATAAGTACCATGTAAGTGTTAGCTCTTATGATTCAGTTTTGTAGGGTAATAGACTTATACAAGACAGACTAGGGCTATGAATTTGCTTGCTGCTAGCTTACTCGTTGCAAGTCACTGAGATCTAACAATTCCTGGGATGGCCTTGAAAGTCCAGGGCCCTGGCACCATGGCACCATTTTTAATCAGAGCTATGAAAGTCCCTGCTTCCCTCTAGGGAACACAGGGACTTAAGCCTGGCCCAGCCACTGCTGCTTGGGACTTTGTTTCAATAAATAACCCCTTGCTATAATTCCATGACTACCTCCTTCTCTGGTCTCTCAGCATCCCGGGGGGCCAATTTCACATTCCTGGCTTGTGTCTAGACAGACTTCAATCCTCAAGGTCTTTTATTTCAGCTCTGCTCTAGGTTGATTGTCCACGCCCTGCTTCCTTTCTTCTCCCTTGCAAAAACTTGCTCCCCCTTAGAATGCCTCATTTGCACCGATAGATCACAGCTGTTAAGTACTCCCTTCCCCCTCCTGAGTAATACTCTGGAGAGCTGGTTGAGCTTTTCCTAGTTCCTTAGAATTTCCATTGTAAAAGCAACATGCATATTGCGAAATCTCCCGTGATGCACAAAGGTCCAATACTCATGAACAAGGATAGCCTCAGGATTTGATAATTGGTGGTTAAAAGACATTAGACAATGACCAAAGATTCTTGTCAGCATAACTTAGAATCTGTGTGTGTGTGTGTGTGTGTGTGTAGAGAAAGAAATCTAACTAACTTCACATGGAAAGGGCTATTTTCTAAATTATTAGGGAACACCAAAACAGAATTTTAGAGTGGCTGTTATTGCAAGTGAAATATAAATGTTTGGAATCTGAATGATGAGATTTACCTTTTAAGTAAAGGTAAGAAATAACTTTGCTGATGGTCATAGGCCCATAAGGGGAGAGTAAAACAGATAAAGGCCATAATGAGTCAGAGCAACTTCATTAGCATAGGCAGGGTTGCTTTTAAAGAAAGCGGTACATACTACTCATTATTTTAAAAAGAAGAACAAGAACAGTGTGAGGCATACGTGCATAGATATACATATATACAACTCCAGTTTCCCATTAGGACTAGAGAAGAATAAAGGAGGGAAAAACAGGAAGAAGGTAAGGAAAAGGCTCAAAGGGATGGGAGAGGATGCCCTGGAAGGCGGGTAACATGGAAATGGAGGCTGAGCCAATTCTTAGGGGAGCATGGAGATGCTCTTTATACTTCTGATCAATGTTCAGAATTAACTCAGTCTCAGCTTGCACACACCCTGCCACGCCCACAATGAACTGCTAAGCAAGGCAACAAAGAAAGGCCTGTGGTACCACGTCTCAGCTGGGACCTTCTCTTTTCTTAGCATCTTCTCCAGGTCCATCGTACACACAATCTTCTTCTTTTAATGTTAACTTTTATTGACATACAATTCACATAGCATATAATTCAATGGTTTATAGATATTCAAACGTGTTGTACAATTATCACCACCATCAATTTTATACCATTTTCTTCTTTCTCATACACGCAATCATTCCCCATCCCTATCCCCAACTTCCCTTGCCATAGCCCTAAGAAACTATCAAATAAGTTACTGTCTTTATACATTTACCAATCCTGGATTTCATATAAAGAAAAACACACAAAAACAAACAAAGATCCCAACAATAATAACAAAATAACACAAAGACCAATAGAAAGAAAGCATAATAATAAAAAATTAGGATAAATTAAAAAATGAGTCAAAAGGGAAAACAAATGCTAAGGTGTTACATTATAACCTAACTACATCTGCACTGGTTCATTTTCCCATTCACTCTGTCTGATAACAAAACTATTCACAGCCTTATTCAGTGGACAGAGGAGATTCACCAGAGGCTTAATAGGGACCCTAAAAATTGATTTTGCGCTTTCACTGTCATTTATAGCACCTGCAATCTCGAATTTAATCTCTAACACCATTCTCTCCTCAGGTCTTGGATTTTATTATTTACAATCCTTAGATCACACAGGCTAGTGTGCTTCTTCCATGTGGACTTAGTTGGCTTCTCATTTATATGGCTGCTTTTTTTTAAAGATAAAAGTAAATTTTAATAAAGAAAAATTCAACATTGAAGGCTCAGACAATCTTGGGGTACTGGGAAGGGGATTCCTGGCTTCTCTTCCCCACCTCCCTGGTATCATTTGGGGTAGAGGAACAAGTTTTTCTCTGATCTTGAAAGGAATGAACAGTTGTTTGCTCTGTCTGAATGTCTTTCCTCTGGGGCTGCCTGGCTGCCAGGTGGTATCTCTGCGTGCCTCTCACCTACGTTCGGCACCCTTGCCCAAGTCCCCTGTGGAATGCAGGGAGGATGCTGTGCGGGGAGCAACAGGACACATCAGCTGGCAGAGACGGTGGTGGTGGCAGCGATGAGAGGGGGCACAGGGGTGGGCCAGCCAGGGGGAAGTGAGAGCGAGGCAGAGGAGGGGCTCTCAAGAGGGCAAAGGGAAGATGGCAACAGAGAAGAAAGCCAAAGAATGTGAGGGTGGCACCAAAGGGCAGGAGTGGTGGGTTTGGGAGACAGCCTCCAGTCCCTGGGTCTCCACATCAACTCTTGTCTGGGGGCGGGTCTCTGAGCACTTTGTTTTTCTTCATACTGTCTAGGTATTCCTGTTGGGACACTGCCAGCACCGATGCTAGGATCTCATCATCATCCCAGTCATTCAGACCAAAGGCAGAAGGGGACATCTGCTGAATGAGAGCCCGGCACTCCAGAGCAGGGTAGAGGGACACGAGAGGAGAGTTGGCCGGATCGCCCCCTGCTGACAACTGGCTGCTTGTACCTGGTGCACAGGGTGAAGGAGGTTTGGCAAGCGCTAGGACAGTGCCTGGAGAAGGGGGCTTAATGCCCAGCTCAGCATGCAGCTCAGGGTTCTCAGGAGATGAAGCTGAACTCCGCTGCCGCGGGGACCGGTTGGTCCACTCCTCCAGGCCATTGGAGGCTGCGGCTGTGGCCGAACTGCACGTGGCGCTGGCTTTCCGGGGCTGGGTGGGGCCACGCACCTGGCGGGCCTGTTTCTCCTGATCCCGGAGCCACTGCAAGTAGGATTCCCGAGCCACCTGCTCCTCAATGGCCTCATTGGTGGCCTCCCAGTCTGTGACCCGTTTCTTGTCTTCCAACATCTGCTGCTCAATCCATGATTCCTCTGATGTTTTTATGGCACTTTTCATGAGGGATTGCTCTGCAAACCCCGGTTTGAAGGATGGTAGGCCCAACCCCACGCCAATGGTGGCCTTATTGGGATTCACCACCGAGTTGTAGTGGCTATTCCGATGGTAGCTGACACGGATGGGTTCATCCTCGTTTTGGTGGATCCCATGGAATGTGTTGATGGGTTCTGTGCCGTATTGATACACCTCGACGGGGCGATTGTACATCTCTGCCATGGCCTGCATCTCGATGTGGTTGCCATGGCAGTTATTTTTTCGCTTCCGGTTTATATAGGTGGTGAAGTCCTCTGTGACGTAGTTGGAGAAGTAGTCTGCATTCTTCATCAGATAGTCCATGCAGTGCTTTCGCACAACCTCGTGCATGTCCTGGTCACCATATACTTGGTCGGCTACAGCCCGGAAGAGACAGGCGCCGTCTTCCTTCATCTGCTTGATGACGAAACCCTTCTTGTCTCGCAGGGCCTTTTCAAACCAGCGCTCCCGCTGCTCGACAGTGGCAGGGTCCATGGCCTCGATGCGCGCTGCAGCCGTTTCGTACTCATCCTCGCTGTTGCAGCCCGCACCGACCTCTTCCCGCTCGGGACTGCCGCCGCCAACCGCGCCAACCCCGGGCGCTTGGCG